ACACCATTCACTAAATGAACAGTAAAAAAAGGATGCTGTAATGCCAAGATGCTCTTCAGTCAGTGTTTGTTATGACAGTCAATAATCACAGCCAGTATAACAACTTTTACTTTAAGTTTTAAATATTTGATGTTGTGTTATAAGCAGATAAAATGAGTGCCAGCTCGGACTTGTCATATTACTTGGCACTTGTAAACTGGAAGAAACAAAAAGACAACTCAGACTGAACACGTCTATACAGTAAGAGGAACACCAGCAGGGGCAGACTGACCACTTGGGAACTCGGGCACTGCCCAAGGGCCCGGGGTCAGTAGGGGGCCCCATGAGATGCCCCTGGTACCTTTCATAGGCTTTTTTGGGTGTGGATTGAGTGTGGGCGAGGAGGATACAGGGGCCCCATGATCCCCTATTGCCCGGGGGGCCCATGAGTTGTCAGTCCGCCCCTGAACACCAGTACAGGTGTGGAAATGTAAACCGTCATGCAAAATATTTTCAAATAAAATTTCTAAGAGAATCCATACACTGTTCAGCCCACACTGAGAGTGTTCTTCCCCATGAGATCGCATTGGGGAAAGCCATTAATGTGAATGTCTTAGTTTATCCCAATCATTGCATGTAATATTCAGGTCGGGAGAGGATAAAGACATGCCTGACAAACATGGAGACCTGGGTGGTTTAGATGTCCATGAAAAAAGAGTGTAAGGTCATCAATATGATATTTTTAATACAAAAAAAAATGATTTCATTCCTCAGTAAATAACAGTTGTGTGCAGTACAATTCACTTCAACCTCAGAAGAAAACCATGGACATAAAATAATCAGATTTTTTTGTTTGTTAAGCCCCTTTAGCATTTTCCCAATGATACCAGATTCTGGGAAATGTGTAGATTCATAATAGGATTAAAAAAATAAAGGTATTTAAGTATGAGGCAAATTTAAATTGAGGTGTATATATCTATACATTATATGAGTATATAGAAATCATACAGCAGGGGTACTGAATTAAAATTCATGGAGGTCCGGTTGGTAACATTTTCTTTCTGCAGAGGTCCTAATCTCATCACAGAAGGTCTCCACTGAGGGCATGAGCTGCCCAACTCTTCTTGTTAAAAAAAAGTGACCCACTTGTTAATATGAAAGGTTGGCTCCCCTCCCCCACTCCCCCTGTAGACCTGCAGTGCCTCCCAACCTCCTCCTTGCCCCGAGTTCAGCAGCGACGGCAGCAACCTGGTACATTCAGAAAAGAAGTCCTTCTTTCCATTCCTCCCACCCTCTTCCCTGCTGTGACTTCAACAGAAGTGGCAACTATGTCTGTGGCAGGTGTGTACATACAGAATAGGAGTCCACCCTGCCATTCCTCTGGATTTCTAACAGCTGCAATGGTGGGAGGAGAGGAGTTCACTCAGACTGCAAAGTGGTGCGGCGGCGGTCCGGACAGGACTGTCACCCGGTCCGCCATTTAGTGATGCCTGTCATACAGTGCGTGATTTTTATACAATTATTTTTTAGGGGCTCTAGAAACTGAGCTGCATATGTAGCAGGTAGAGGGTTGGGACAAACCATTTAGTGCTTACAATGGTCAGCTTATTTTATTTATTAATGCAAAATCTTTATCCCAAAAGGAAAAAATTTAGCTGTAACTGCTTATAAAATATTCACTGGAGTTTAGTTGGAGTTTGTCTTTAATTTGTTAGTGTATTGTTAGTATATTTAAATCTGCTAGTGAATATAACACTCCCCTTCCCCCAATTCTGATAATGCTGCTGTCCAAAAGCATGCTCCTTCATCCAGTGTGTAGGTACTCTAATACAGGAGGTGTGTTACTGGCAGGATTACCAGGTAAAAACAGAATGGGGGGGGAGGCCTGTGAAAAAACTAATGTAACCACCACATCAAATGATTGGTAAGCTGCAATACATTACATTTTTGGTTTTGGATTTAATACCACTTTAAGGTGTCAAGAGTTTTGGATGGTTTATATACAGTAGAGAATGTTTAACTACTTTCTATTTTGTTTCTTCTGTCTGTGATCTGTTGAGTTTTTCATGAATTGACATGTCCCAGAGACACAGTACAAACTCATTCATATGTCCCTAGGTTCATATCTATCGCAGGTTGCAGTTGATGTGTTTTTCGGCGTGTTTTGCGATGCATTTATGAATATGTGCTTTTTGCTGTGTTTTGCGGGATTTTTTTAACTAATAGGAAAGTATGACAGTTCTGATCATGTAGTGTGACTTTGATGCAACTTTAATGCTACTTGAGTGTCAGAGAGTGTAAAGCCGCATCAAAGTGGTATTAAAGTCACACTACATGAACAGTACTCTCATACTTTCCTATTAGCAAAAAAAGCACAAAACACATCAAAAACGTAAAACTTGCATTTTAGTGCAAGTCCATTGAAGTCTATTACATGCAAAAAGCCATCTGCTGTGGGAAAAAAGTCCCTGACCCTTTCCAAAAAATGCACAGGCTCAAAACACATAGATGTGAACCAGATCCTTTGGAAATCATGTTAAATTTAATGTAGTACATTTTTGCAAACTGGAAAACGCACTGAAATCCGAATAGGTGTGAACCTAGGGTAAATGAGGGGAACAGATGTTCCAATTAGATGATTTCCCCCTCACCTATTCTACAAAGACTGCAAAATTTTGGATTTCTCATCACTCTCTGTCACAATGACAATGACAATGGTCAACTAGAGGACAAATGGAGAAGGTGAATCTATCTAGCAGGGACACAGTTAACAGTTAATAGCCGTATACTGGTTCAAACCCCTATGGAATATTTTTTTATATATATATATATATATATATATATATATATATTTTTTTAATTTATTATTCATAAACAAGAAAATTACCATCCCTCAGTAGCTCTGCTTGTTTAAATATATGAGCTGCAAGAAGTTTACACAGTTCACATTTGTAGACTGGAGACTTTGATTAATACCCCAGTTAATGGATGAGCCCCTAACATTACATGGACAAATCATGTTTCATTAATCTTTATAAAAGTGCAGGATATGCCAGAAGCTGTGCACTAACTAGTGTGCACTTAAATAATACAAATGTGCCGGATTTATCAAAGGATAGTTCTGGCCAGACTAACAAATACAATGTTAAATGAGGGAAAGTATATTATGTCAGGACATTCCTTTTCTCATTAGAGCCTAATTAGCTATGTAGGTGTGCTAAGATGTGATAATGGAGAAAATATATGAGGCTAAGAAACATAAAACAGAAGAGGTGACTAGCTTTTAATGGAGGAAAGAGTAACATAGGAGGAAAGGTCAAAGCAGAATTATGCAATCATTTTACTTAGATATTTCTCTGCATCAGATATCTGCCTTTTCTAGGACACATTTGCCAAGAATCAAAAACCCGGCCTGTTTCTAATTATTGGAGTCTGTGTTCCTGAGGGTGAGTTGAGATGATAGTTCCCCTGATAAGTTGATCAAAGTATTTCTTTTAAGTGTTTTTGAACTGACTTCATAGAAAATCCCTGTGTGTGATTAGGTGTGCGTGAATGGGAAAGTGATACATTGGAAATACAGATGTTATGGCTGCTTCTTTTACTGAGTTCTGTAATGTGTGGGGAAGTGTCAGCACAGGTTAAAGTCAGATGATACAGATCCTGCTATGGTATGTCAAGTATGTACAAGACAGAAAAAGTTAACCTACAAATATTTGCACATAATAAAGAATTTACTGTGTAATGTCACATTCTAACAAAATCTATCATTGCTGAAACATTTGAGCAAGATTACATCTTTTAGAAAGCTAACTTTTATGTTATGAGCTACAAGATACATACATTAATGTTAAAATATTATTATATAATGTAAACAGACAACTTAAAGTGACATTAAAAAATGTCCTTAGGCCCCTTTCACACTGGCGGTCCAATCGGGTCCGCCTGTCAGTTTTTCAGGAGGACCCGATTGGACCATCCATAGACCTCTATGGACCGGCGGGTGTCAGCCAAAAACAGACGGATGGGAATCCTTTCCCCATCTGTCTGGTTGATCAGATCGGATGGCAAGCGGTCTGTCTCCATCTGACCGCCCCATAGAAGAGAGCGGCAGTGTTTGTGTCCGCTCTGCAGCAGCGGAGTGGACACAGACCTGTTATCCAGCTGCTCAGCTGGGATCAGAGGAGAGATCCCTTGCTGAGCAGGCAGATCCGATGACTGGTCCACCCCATCTGAAAGGGGCTTTATTCTAAAAAAAAAAAATAGCCATAAACATTCATTATGTAATGGCACTAATATCTATTTGTAATTAAATTGATTCTTACTTTGTTTTTCTGCCTTCTTATAATCCCTCAAACTCTCCTTTTCCCCCTGATTTTTGTGTTTTTGGAACGAGCAGTGCACAATATTTGAGGTCATATGCGCTGCTCCATACACACTGCAGATTTGATAATCCTTAGTCCATCTGGAGAGTGAACAAAAGAGGGTGGCTATATTCCTATATACAGTGGAATCATTGTTGAATAACTGTAGCCACCCAGGAAGTCAGATCATAGCACCACTTGTGCGGGCTCAGTTCTGAGCCAGGATGTGTGTGTCCATAGACACACACAGTGCAGCCCCGCTATTCCCTCCTCACAGGATCTGATTGACAGCAACAGGAGCCAATGGCTCCCCCTGCTGCCAAGTCTGCTGTGAGAAGAGAGAGAGGGGAGAAGAGCTGCAGCAGACGGACACAGCACTGGATAAAGAAAGACTGGGCTCAGGTAAGTGTTTAAGTGGAGCTGGGAGGAGCAGCTTTTGAAAGTTTTTTTTTACCTTAAGAGTATGCATTAAGGTACAAACCTTTTGCCTTTATAAATTCTAACTAAACTGCGTTATTTTGAGTAAAGGATATACATACAGTTAAGTGATTACTACCTAAAGGTTATAGCTAGAGATGAGCGAATTATTCAAAAATTCGATTCGGCTGATTCGCCGAATTCGCGGAATAAATTCGATTCGAGGCGAATATATTCGGAGCTCATGCGTTGATGATAGTGCCGTCGATCTTAGAATCACCGCACACTTCTTACTCATTTGGGCTGTCACGCCGGGGCCAAAACCAGAGTGTGGAGCCTACAGTGTGGCGGTGGAGGGACAAGCTAGCCAATGGGAGGCCATTACAGCACCCTATGACAAAATGGAACCCCCACCAGCAGTGTGAGGAGACTGGGAAAGTGGCACACATTGGGCAGAGTGTGGCGATGGAGACAGCAGCAATGGGAGGCCGTACAAAGGGACCCATGGACACACTCTGGACCTGGCAGCCAGCATGATGAGGCGGTTACAGGAGGCCCATGAACAGATTACGGGCCCCTGGCAGCAGTCAGGGCGGGGGCGTGTATTCGGTGAAAAGCCAAAGGGGTGCAGCAGTATAAGCAGACGACAGAGGCACATGAGCGCAGAGCAGGCATTCAATTCGGATAGCCATATTCGGTACAGGCCTCGGTGCGGAGCAAAAGCACGAGGGGCCGCTAAAATGAAGCCGTACAGCAGCAGTTAGTCCCCAGCAGACGTGGGGACACTTTCAGAGGCACATGGCGCAGGGTGGGCGGCTGCGGAAGGCAGCAGTATTCGGGAAGCCATACAACAGGCCTAGGTTAAAAGCACGGGGAAGCCGTCAGCAGCGTGAGCAGACGACAGAGGACACATGGCGAGACGGGCAGGGTGGCGGTGGATGCAGCAGTATTCGGAAAAGCCAAACACAGGCTCCTCATCGGTTAAAAAAGCGGAAGCCGCGTCAGCAGCGTGAGTGCAGACACGACAGAGGCACATGGCGCAGCAGGTGGCGGTGGATGGGACAGGCAGCAATGGGAAGGCCATACAGCACCCTATCACAAAATGGAACCCACCAACAACAGTGTAAGGAGACCTGATAAGTGGCACATGGCGCAGTGGGTCGGCGGTGTGGATGGGCAGCTTGTATTCGTACGAACGACATTTACACAGGACTATCTTGTTTAATAGAGAGCGGAAGCCCGTCTCAGCAGTGTGAGCAGTGACGAACCGAGGCACATGGGCAGCTTTTCTGGTGGGCGGTGGAGGCAGAGCAGTATTCGGAGGAAGCCATATCACGAGATCCTAGGTTAAAAGCGCGGAAGCCGTTAGCAGCAGTTGAGCAGCGACGACGCCAGGAGTACACTATGTGCTCCCAGTGGTGCGCGGTGGAAGGATAGCCAGTATTCTCGGAAGCCATACACAGGCTCTAGGTTAAAAAAAGCCGGAAAGACGTCAGACAGCTGCCGTGAGCAGTACGACAAGAGGACACATGGCCGCAGGGCTGGGCGCGTGGAGTTGCAGCAGTATTCGGCTAGCCCAAACACAGGCCTCAGTTTAAAACGCGAGGAAGGAAGCCGTATTGCAGCGTGAGCTGACAGAACGAAGAGGCCACATGGCTCGCAGGATTGGTACGGCGGTTGGATGGCAGCAGTCAAATTGAAAGGACCATTACAGCCACTCCTTATTCACAAATATAGATAACCCACCAAACAGTGTAAGGAGACTCTGAAAGTGGGAACATGGGTTAGAGTACTGGCGATGAAAGTCAGCAAACAATGGGAGGGCGCTTTACAGGGACCTCAAATGACATCTCACTCTGGACCTCGGCAGCATAGTCAAAGAGGCAGGCTGGTACAGGGGCCCATGTGGATCAGAGTGGCGAGAATTGAGTTAAGCAGGCTTTATAATTGAATGGCCTTACTCAGAGGTCCTATATTAAAAAACTACATTCACAATGTTTGGGGCTCATGATTCATGGCGGATTTAGCTTCAGTCTTTGTGTCAGGCATCTGCGTGGTTTGAAATCCAGATCTAATCCACGCTCGGAGTCCCATTTTCATCTAACGTGAGTCTGCTCCACACTTTAGGGTGGACGCAGTCGTGTACCGTCCGCGGCAGTTTACATTATCTACTTAGTGCCGAACTTAAACACAGCGACTCCCGATGCCACGGCTACCTTGGCCGGGCATGCTAGCACAGCACCTTTCAAGGGGCAAATTCAGCTAAGTTGGGGGCAAAGATCCGGTCAAGTTTCGATTGTCCAGTAGTCAAGGGGAAATTTGTCCTACCTCGGTTGGGACAGGGTGACCTGGTCCAAAGTAGGCTCGAGCCTTGTTGTTTCTAGGTCCATGGACTCCAGGTTCCACCTGATTGCTGCTGCTTGCCTGCGGCTGAGCTTCCAGTAGTCTTCCTTCACTACTGCGTCTGGCTGAAGCCTAAAAGCTACGTAATCTTCGACTGCAGACTTGATGGCGAGCCGATGTGGTGGCTCTGCCCACTGCTCCTACCACCCCTCCCACCACCTCCCCTGCTGCCATGGCAGCGGAACGCCGAAGCGCACAGGGCCCACAAGTGTCTGAGGGATGGACGTTTGGCGCAGAAAGGCAGAGACCAACTGACTACATAGGTGGGTTTTCATAGTACGGTTATTTTGGCCTCCCTCTCATGCAGGTAACAGTGTGAAAAAGGCCACATTTTTGAACGGTAGCGAGGGTCCAACAAGGTGGACAGCCAAAAGTCATCCCTCTGTCCCTGATGGTTATTATTCGGCTGTCGCTACGCAAGCGAATCCGAGCATGCTATGGGCCATTTGTGCCAAGGAATGCACAAAGGGAACTCGATCAAACTGGCGAGGGACCATCCTTCCCACAGCTCAGCATACTGCCACGGTGCGTCTGGGTCCTCTGTCTCCTCCTCCTACTCCTCTACCAGATGCTCCTGCATCCTCCACTCCTGTCCGCTGAGTGGAAAAACCACCCATTTCATCTCAATAATTCTCTGTGCTTCAATGTCCTCCTCTACCTCTCTCCTCTTCTTCTTCCTGTCCTGCCCCCACAGGGGTCATGTGGCGTTGAGATCTGTGCGCCATCGTCTACCGCACCCTGACCAGCGTAATTGTTAACAGCATTTGTTTTCCAGGACGTGAAAACCCAACAGATGGAAATGACGTCGTTCATCCCATAGTCCTGACAGGAACTCAAACGCGAATAGCGTGGCCTCCTCAAAGGGCTTGGACTAGAGCAAGCGGCAGGTGTCACGAATGAGCTGCCAATGGCTGACATCTAAGTTACACAGGGGGAGTACCTTTATACCGCTTGTAACATCAGGAAATATCGGTGATGGCCTTTCGCTGTTCGTAAAGCGAGGTCTACACATATGATTAGGGTTGAATTACCACCTTGTTGCAACGTCGCAGATCAGGCGATGCTGTGGAATTCCGTTCTGCCGCTGCAGCTCAAGGAGGCGGTGTGCTTTGCGGTGTAGGAAATGGCTGAAATGCATGCAAAGTTTACGTGACATTTTAAGGATGTCTTGCAGTGGGATGGTGGATTTTAGGAAACCGCTTGACACCAGATTGAACACGTGAGCCATGCATGGCGCATGGCACAACCTTCCTTGACGCAGAGATCGCAGCACACCATTGTTCTTTCCGTTGTTTCGGTCAACATGGTTCCGATTTTCAGTTTGCGCGGAGACACAGCCATCTGTCGATTTTCTCTGTTCATTTACACTCAGAAGTTCCCTCCCCTGTGTGACTACGTTCACTCAAGGTCATACCAGGTGCAGCACAGCGTGACACCGTTGCGCCCTTCACATGTGATATGCCGGTCGGGTAATGGGACTTGGACAAGGGATCGGTGGCGGTGCTTGTGAGGACACGGCGGAAGAATGACATTGAGGAAGAGAGGTGGTAGAGAGCGGACATCTTTTGCTGGACCAAGGGACGTGCAAACTGCAAACGTGGAGGCATCAAAATCGGCGGCGTGACCTGTCCAAGTTGCTTGGTGCGCGGCTGTGCCGGCACCCACGTTCTCACCCAGTGTGGGCCGTTAAATGACATGTACTGTCCCTGACCGTAGTTACAGCTCCATACACGTCGGCGCTGCCGTGCACTGCTAGGCTAGTTTCGGCAGAGGACCGACATGCTCACACAGACTGGCCCACACATCTTCTTCTACATGTGTAATCGCAGGGCCTGGCACTGCTCTTTTTGGCGAAGAAAATGCCGGCTTGGACACTTCTCCACCGCGGCGCTCGGCACAAGCCATCATTTCTCGGAAAGGTGCTGAGGTCCACCACTTGGAAAGGGGAGGGACTGCAGCACCAGCAACTTGGACAGGAGGTACGTTCAGCTTCTTGCACCGTCGGGTGCGTGCTCGCAAACTGTTGTCTCTTGGAAACGGATTCCAAGAAAGACTGCTGACGGAATCCGTGAAGAGCGAGTAGCAGGAGAAGGAGCATCTTGAACGAGCGGTAAAGATGCCAACGAGCGACAACTCCCCTCAGACAGAGGTGTTGGAGCCCTTGACTGGCTGATAGAGGGCGCTTGAACGTCGAGGTGACGGAGCAAGTATAACTGGAGCGGGTGATGGAGCGGCGGGGGGCTGGGGCAGGCAGAACCGCCGTATCTTTATCATCCGGTTTTTTCCCAGGCCACCGAATGGCGACGCTGCATATGCTGACAGCAAAGCTACGCTGTGTCAGTCCCAACTATGTGGCCCCCTGGCCACGCTTGACTTTCTGGCCACATAGTCGACATACGGCTACGTTTACTTCCTCGGGCGAGCTTGACGAAAAATTGCACACCATGCGCCGAGTAGGAACAAACTTTGTGAGTCCATCCCGCTACTCCTCACTGGCTGACTGCTACTCTTCAACTCCGTGCACTACCGGCACCACTACTGGCCGTGGTGGTAGGCTGCAGTGTGGAGCATGGTGCTCATTAACATCTCCGTGGGCCGTTTGCCTCCACACTGGACACAGGCTGTGCTCCCTCGACGCTGCCAACTGCATCCTGGCAATCCCACCGAACTAATGTTTTGCTCGCTGGCAAGCTGGCACCGCCCTCTTCGTCCTGATGATGTCGGAAAGCAATAGTGAGCCTAGATTGACGACGTAGAGGGATGCCAAGTGCCGATCAGCCTCATCTATCATCCAAGTTAGGGTCTCCGCGTCACTACTCTAGCCCTCCCTCGGCTGCGTGTGGGTCAGGAGAACACTAGCACCTGTCCTCTAGACCGAGTCTGGCTGAACAAGCCACTCCTCCTCAGACCATGTACTGTCACTTGCGCCTGAGCTGATCTGAATAGAGGCGGATGTCTCCCCCCGCTTTCCTGACCGCCCTCTGTTAGCTCTTCCTCACTGTAACAGTGGGGCTGAGCCCGACGATCGCATGCGATACATTCGCTTGTGATGGGAACAACTCAAAAGGACAGGCGGCAGGTAGAGGACACGTGATTTCAAGTGGGCTATGCTCCCGGGCCCATGGCCAACTAACGGTTAGTGGTCTGACGTTAACCCTAATCCCGAAGTCCGTCGAGTGGCTGTAGGTGTCAGAGCGTGGACCTGGTGAACTAGAGGAAGCAGTCAGACCCCGAGTCAACCAATTCGATGACGGCAGGGTTGTCGGTGGAGAAGACACGACCGCTGGATGACACCGGGAGCACTCTGGCCTCTGGCTGCGACTGAGTTGCTGCCTCGACCCCTTCCTCTGCTGCCACCGTTCTGCTTGCTCCTGAAACCATTGCCTCCTCTGCCACCTCCTCTGCAAGTGTTGTCTGACACGTACTCTCACTTTATTCAATAAGCACCCCAAAATTCATAATAACAGGATTTAACTCTGTTTGAAGTTACAATAGGTGGTTGTGAGAAGCCAGAGAAAGTAACACGATTCTGTGTCCCCTGCAGTCATAACAATTCTCTGTGTCCTGAGTAACGAGATTCTGTGTCCACCTGGAGTATAACGAGTTCTGTGTCCCTTCAGTAACAATTCTGTGTCCCTGAGTGAACGGATTCTGTGTCCACGTGAGTACAATTCTTGTGTCCCTGAGTAAACGTAATTCTGTGTCCATGCAGTAATCAATTATCACTGTGTCTCCTCCGAGTAACTCGATTTCTCGTGTCACTGTGTAACGATTCTGTTGTCCACTCCAGTAACAATTCTGTGTCCGCTGCAGTAACAATTCTGTGTCCCTGCAGTCAAACGATTCTGTGGGTCCACTCTGTAACGATTCTTGTTTCACTGAGTAACGATTCTGTGTCCCTGGAGTAAATCGAATTCTGTGTCCCTGAAGTAAGACACGATTCTGATGTCCCTGAGTAAACAATTCTGTTTCCCTGAGTAACCGATTTCTTGGTGTCCCTTGAGTAACCTATTTCTGTGTCCCTGAGTAACACAATTCCTGTGTCCCTGAGTAAATCAATTCGAGTGTAGAGTCCCTTGAGTAACCGATCCTGATGTCCCTGAGTATAACACACTTATGTGTCCCTGCAGTAACGGATTTCATGTGTCCCTGAGTAAACGATATCTGTGTTCACACTGTAGTAACGATTCTGTGGCCCTAACTGTCTCTCTGTGGCACCGATAACTCTGTCCCTAATGTACAGACAGGTCTGTCTCTCTTGAATGACCGGTAGGCTATATGGAGAATTCTAGATCGGCCGCCGATTTTTTGCCTCCACCATTTACACAGATGCTGGATGCGCTGGCTCGCACTGTATTGCCTGCCTATATGACCGAACTCACATGTCATGATAGTTGAATGCATTCATTGGTGTCAGCGCGCCTTGGTTCCTCCTCTTGCGCGCCGCTTCTCCATCGAGATCCCCGACTCCGCGCCACCACAATGTCGCCGCTCAGTTTTGT